TACATTCATGCGTACGCGTACATGTACGTGTACGTTGAACTGAATTTTACGTGTTCAATCTAATATCGCCCACCCCTCTCCCAACACAATCAAACAACCTTTACCCCACATTCAAAGGAGATAACAAACGTCTTGCCTGTAGAGGTGGGAGAAATGTTTTAAATCACGTCGTGACTTGACAGGGCTAATGGTGTTGATCGAGACGGCGGTTCGGTGCAAGAACGAGGGAAAGAGGGGAGCTAATTAAATTTATGTTTGGTGATAAAACTCACCCTCCCTCCAGCAGTCGGTCATTCCCCCCCCCCCCCCCCACACACACACACACAAACACACATAGTGGCGTGGAAATGAAATTTAAGTAAAAGCTTCATCTTACTGGTCGCCATCTAAACCATGTTTTATTACATTGATTAAGCCATGTTTTGGGCATTATGTATTGTAACCAGTGGCGTAGCTACCGTAGAGCAAAGTAAAGGGGCCCAAGGTACAAAGGGGCCCTTTTTCCTCTTAAAAAAATAAAACTTTTATATTGGAATTTTAATTTTTCTTTTATTTAAATCATCCACTGTAGAAATAATTAAAATTTCATAAAAGGCTCCGTCATTTCTTATTATATTATTAGTGGCATTCAGTTGGAGGGGAGAGGATCGAATAGGGCCTTCCGTAATAATAACACTAAGGCGCTGTCGCATTATCGTGCAAGGCATTGAGAGAATTAACCTACAAATAAACTTGAACTTTCAACTTTTGGTGAGATCGGCATCCTGCAACCGTAAATTTACATACATCGCTAAAAAACCTAAATTGACTGAGGAATTCCCTACCCCACGACCCATCGCCTATTGGGTCCTTTTATGTCTGTCGCAGCGGGTCAGCATAACTACTTAATTAAGAGGTCAAACTGCACAGTCGCATCAGCCGGCCTCCCGGCGGTTGACAAACACAACACAAACACAAACACAAAAAAACACAAACACAACACAAACACAACACAAACACAACACAAACAAAACACAAACACAACACAACACAACAAAGCACAACACAAACACAACACAAACACAACACAAACACAACACAAACACAACACAAACACAACAAAACACAACAAAACACAACACAAACACAACACAAACACAACACAAACACAACACAAACACAACACAAACACAACACAAACACAACACAAACACAACACAAACACAACACAAACACAAACACAAACACAACACAAACACAACACAAACACAACACAAACACAACACAACACAAACACAACACAAACACAACACAAACACAACACAAACACAACACAAACACAAACACAACACAACACAACACAACACAAACACAACACAACACAACACAAACACAACACAAACACAACACAAACACAACACAAACACAACACAAACACAACACAAACACAACACAAACACAACACAAACACAACACAAACACAACACAAACACAACACAAACACAACACAAACACAACACAAACACAACACAAACACAACACAAACACAACACAAACACAACACAAACACAACACAAACACAACACAAACACAACACAAACACAACACAAACACAACACAAACACAAACACAAACACAACACAAACACAACACAAACACAACACAACACAAACACAACACAAACACAACACAAACACAACACAAACACAAACACAACACAACACAACACAACACAAACACAACACAAACACAACACAAAAACAACACAAACACAAACACAACACAAACACAACACAAACACAACACAAACACAACACAAACACAACACAAACACAACACAAACACAACACAAACACAACACAAACACAACACAAACACAACACAAACACAACACAAACACAACACAAAAACAACACAAACACAAACACAAAACAAACACAACACAAACACAACACAAACACAACACAAACACAACACAAACACAAACACAAACACAAACACAACACAAACACAACACAAACACAACACAAACACAACACAAACACAACACAAACACAACACAAACATAACACAAACACAACACAAACACAACACAAACACAACACAAACACAACACAAACACAACACAAACACAACACAAACACAAACACAACACAAACACAACACAAACACAACACAAACACAACACAAACACAACACAAACACAACACAACACAAACACAACACAAACACAACACAAACACAAACACAACACAAATACAACACAAACACAACACAAACACAAACACAAACACAAACACAACACAAACACAACACAAACACAAACACAACACATGTTGTTTTTATATGTTTATATATATATATATATATATATATATATATATATATATATATATATATATATATATATATATATATATATATATATATGTCGTACTTTATTTTAAATGCATTTTTTGACCATTTCCTAATTTAGTACTTTAAACTATTTCATTGCAAAGTATATCTTGAAAAACAATCACAGAAAATTGTGCTCATTTCGGGCGAGATATAATCTTGTTTTCAAAACGTTTATATCTCATTTGTAACTTTTTAAAATATAATTTTATTTTCAATACCTCTCCTATACCTGCCTAAAAATACTGTCTGGCAAGCCGGTTAAAAGTATTTAAACATGGAGGTTTGATATGTGTTTTTTTTTACAGCTGTGTCATTCTGTAGTATAAATTAATGTAATAATACTTAAGAGAAGAAATTTTTTTTTCAATGTGATTAGTACTATTTGAACAGGGGTGATAAGTCTTGGAAGATGCTTGAAGGTTTGCCTATCTTAACAATACAGCTCATGTCATTTTTGTGTCTATGCAGTAGTGTGTTAGTTACTGTAAAACAATCACTGCTGTGGTAGATCTTTATTTTAAAAAAAACAATTAATTTATCAAGGTGCGAAGAATCTACAATATCTACAATATAAACGGGCTGGTAGTGTGTCAGTCCTCGTGTCATCGCTATGGATTTTGGAACCATAAAAGTAAACATATCACCATTTTTTTCCCGCCCCAGACATGTAATTTATAGCGTCAGTTGTCTGTTCGCTTTAGTATTACAGTTTTCATCACCGGCTTGTGAGGACTGATGCAGATTTACAATCGTAATATTTCTTTCTTACTTGTAGCCTACTTTCATTCATTTAAGATGGTTTACTTATACAAAGATCTAATACAAAACGTCTAAATATAAAATAATAAAAAACCAACCTGAAAATGCAAATGTGTAATTAAATGATAATTCAAGGGATTTTTTTTCCTTCGGCGTGGGGGGCTGAGGGGGTGGGGGGGTGGGTGGAATTTTTGTTTTTTAAGTAGAGCTGAAATAAATTTGGGATTACAGAGAATTAAAATGATACAGATTTTAAGCAATTGGAAAAGTTGTCATTACAATGAGACACATCAAACATCCTTCCCTTTCAAACATCTATATCTATACAGTCCTCAAACATTTTTTTTTAATTTTTTTTTTTAAATTCAATTGTTTTAAACATTTAAAATAGTAATAATAATTTATTTGATAGTTTTACGCAGCATCAAAGACATGAACATCAATTGCATATATAATAATCAAAGTGAGAAAATAAAATGGCATGAGAACTAGACTAAAATAAGGTGTGCAAACTCGGTTTCTCTTGACTGCTTAGGTTACTGTGCTCCGCCCTTAGCTGCGGAGTCAAAAATTCACATTGTAGCCGACCATGGACAGAAATAGAAACGACCGTAGGAAGAGTGTCTCTGTAATACTCATACTGATCTATCATTCCAAATCTTTCCATGACCTAAAATTGACCATTGGCGATGAGGGCACGCTACCTTGAAATATCCGCCAGTCCTGTTGAGTGGGGGGGGGGGGGGGAGTGTGTGTGTGGGGGGGGGGGGGTGAGGTGTGTATCTCTTTCTACCATTCAGGTTGTGCATTTTTAAAAACCTGGGAAACAGAAGACTGTTCTAATGTTAATTTACTTGATGGCTGATCGAGTATTTTTTGGTTTGAGACTGTCTAAATTAAAATTAATACTTTATTTATTGCTTTCCTGTACATTTTTTCCCCAGTTAAGTGAGAGTTCCCAAACTATGTCAGTGTCTCTTAAAATTTTTTTACAAAGGTGTCCATGGGGGATGGAAGGAGTTGATAACCCTCCTAACCCTCACCTGCTTACGCCACTGATTATTAGTAATGGATGTTTCTTTTCCCCCTTATCAAATTTAACCTCGCAGGGTATAAAAATTATTTTTTTGCACGGACAGAAAGGTTTAAAATTATTGTACGCAATGTAATGTGTCTTAGGCCAAATTGAGTTCATGCCCTCTCTTTCTGTTTATATTTATCACTTAATTATCATTATAGATACTGTGATAAACATATTTATAAATGCAGAGTTATTTTCAGGTACCTCTTTCTTGGAACGGAAAATATTTTATGTAGAAAAAATGTACTTTAACCACTACTCTCTCCTCACTCCTTCCTCCCCACCCCAACCCGCCAGGAATTAAAGTGCGCGACCCCCCCCCCCCCCACCCACCCACAATCACCGTAAGTGTCTCTAGTACTCCATCTGAGAACAACGCCGAAAAGAAACAATGTATGCCCACAAAAATACATGTAGATTGAACGTTTTGTATGTGTTGTAGTACTTAGATATTTTTACGTTAAATTTTAACTCATGGGTGTCAAGGTAGAACATAACCACCCACAGATCGTCACATTCCAAAAAGGTCCATGGAATTCAAAATATGAGAACCCTGGCCCTTCTGCGTGGACGACATAAATACATAAATAGATAACTATTAGCTGTAACATATTGTGAAACATTTTTTTCATTTTGAGACTATATGGGGGTGGTTATCTAACTGCCCTAGCACGTCAGCACCACCATACAGTATTGATTTATTTATGTAACATTTTCGCCTCAGCCTATTGTTTTAAATTGACAATAATAAAAGCTCTTCTACTTTCCTTACCTTATTCAGGTTCGAAAAAACTTCCATCAAAAAGATATGGCGTTTCAGGTAAGTTCTTAACTTTGCTTCTAAATTGCATGCACTAGGGAATGACTTTAAAAAGATTACTCTAAATCGGAATATGATTTGATAAAAACAACGGATAAAAAGTTTTAAACTTTACTATTTAACAATAACCATACGAAGTAAAATCCAATCCAATCTAACTCATCCATCCATCCATCCATCCATCCATCCATCCATTCATCCATCCATCCATCCATCCATCCATCCATCCATCCATCCATCCATCCATCCATCCATCCATCCATCCATCCGTCCATCCGTCCATCCGTCCATCCGTCCATCCGTCCATCCGTCCATCCGTCCATCCGTCCATCCGTCCATCCGTCCATCCGTCCATCCGTCCATCCTTCCATCCGTCCATCCGTCCATCCTTCCATCCGTCCATCCGTCCATCCGTCCATCCGTCCATCCGTCTATCCATCTATCCATCTGTCCGTCCGTGTGTATGTCTATATATATATATATATATATATATATATATATATATATATATATATATATATATATATATATATAAACTAGCCGTCCCGGCCAAGCTCTGCACTGGCTTTAACGAAAAACTTTTCTTTAAACAGTGACTTGTGTGTTTATTAAGCATCATATAAATGTGCGCTGGACGTTTTTGTGAATATATCAAATTTTCAAATGATGTCTATATGCAAATATAGAAAATATATAGAACCCTAAACCTACCTCTAAACCTAACCCTGACGAACCCAACAGCAACAATAAACATAAACGACCATAGACATAGACATAAACCTTCCCCATTCATCTTATTTCTACGTCTAACAAAAATCCACAAGTATAAACACAAAAATAAATGAAAAAAAAAACATAAACACTCACCTTAACCTCAAACATGACAATAAACAAAAACATGTGAAATTTTAGTTATCTATCTGAAATAGTATTCAAGTTACAGCTTTTGAAAAATTGAAAGTAGAAAAAGTTCCACTTCCGTTTATCAAAAATCGCTCAAAAGTTGAAACGGATCTACGATTTTGATATAATACTTATATACGAAATTTCATCAACCTAGCTGTAACGGTACTCAAGTTATCGTGTTTACAGACACACACACACACATACACACACATACACACACAGACATACGGACAAGATTGCAAAACTATGTTTTTCCGAGTGCGATAGGCTATGGATAAAACGGGTTTCTATAGTAGCTCATTAAATTGAATCAGGCGCACCTTCCGGCGCCCCTCATGGTACAATTTGGCCCCCTGGATTTCCCGTAAGCGTTATGGCGTCTATGGGTATTTACCCATTCACTAGATCAATTTAGATGCGTCCGCCGGCGCCCCGGCAGAGTGCAATCCGACGTTCTGTGCTATCCTGTGAGCACTATGGCACCTACGTTCCTTTTAAAGAGCATTTAACAATATTGACACGGTGGCACACTAGATTTAATGATTAAACCGAGCCAGGGGCAGTGCGCGGCAACCCTGCGGTAGTGTAACCGGGGGCTCCCACGACCGCCCAGCTGCGTCCCTGAACCTGGGCGGTTGCGGAAGTGTGCTATTACGGAAAGTTTTTATTAACTTACACTCAACGCTTTCATACAGCTCGCCATGGGGCGTACTCGATGGTAGTGTGGGTAAACTTCTCACCCGTCAAGTGTGATCCTAGAAATATAGCATCGGCATTGTTTATATTTAAAAATAACTCTGTTTTTAGAAAACAATCTCACGCGTCTAAGAACATAAGATTTGTATACATATCAATGAAACCCTCTTAAAATATTTTGACAGACTTTCTTCTGAGAACGCGGGTCGGGCACGCTAGTTTTACAAACGCGCTTTCCCGAAGTAAATACGTGTTTATTAGCCGTATGCAGTTTAAAAAATTCTTTTTAGAATCCGGTTAAACTTTATATCAGATTTACATATATAAACATTATTATAGCTAAACAATATATGTTTTAGTTGTTTTAAAATTTCGCATTGTAATAGCGGTATGACATATAAACAAAGTTTCTTTCATGCATTAAATATATATAATTTATAGAGCAAAAAAATACTGTGATGAGTGTTTACCCCACTACCTACCCGAAAATCTTAAAATGCGACTCCGATCTTTCAAGTGCACCCTCGGTGAAAGATGTCTGAACATGTTTTACAGGATATCGAGGGTCATTTAATGTACACGCTCATCAGCAACATTATTGCTGCAGTGGGGACAATGTTGTTGTGTACTTTTCAAATCATAAACCTGTTCATCACTCCAGCAAGATCTGAAATAAGACGGCGCATTTGTTGGAGTCTGACCGCTGGTTTTGTCGCCGCGGGAATATGGTAAGTATCCATTTTTATACGTTATATTTTTACTTTCATACATCTTTCATTGTATTACACGATTGTTAAATTGATAGCCCAATAGATTCTAGGTAATAGTAATACATATGCATAGTATACATCTACGTCCCTCCCTTCCCCTACCCCTACAGAAAAACAACATTTTCTACAGGTGTAAATGATTTAAGGTAATTGAATTATTTTAATGCTATTCTGACGTTTTCCCGAAAGGCGCTTGCCCGTATGCGACAAATGCATTAAGGGACATTTGACCGATTGCGACAAATGCCCTAAAGACACTAGGCCGTTTGCCCGATAAAATTTAACATTCGGGAAATCGGGCATGGGGCACAAGGCATTTAGGCAAGTGTCTTTTGGGAATTTATGGTAGACCCATTTTAACCCTTGAATTAAATGTTTTGAATTTTTTTGCATTTAATCAAGTTAACTGATACAAGCATAAAAACGTATGTCATAGGGCTTTATAAGTCGCTCGTCAAATTTGCTATGGGAAAAAAAGAACCAACAAACACACAGACACACACATACACACACAAACACTCACTCACAGACATGAACGCACGCACTCTCACACGTCTATATAAAGAATTTAAAAAACAAACATACCAAAAAGAACAATTATAAACGGTGCTTGATGCATTTAGAAATTGCATAACTTTAAGTCATGTGCATTGAGTATTTTTAAAGTGTATCTAATTCTAAGTGACTTGAGTATGTAATCTCAGTTTTAATATGCTATGCTTTTGGCGTAAACCTATTCCTCAAATACTAATGGCATTGTTTGTTTATTATCGGTTGAAGCTTATGCAAAAAAAGGATAAATGATTTGCGGTTGGTTAACTAGATGATTTCGTGTTAATGTCGAATCGAATATATATGTATTTTATTGAATTAATTGGATACACTTCATTCAGTGTGAACTGCTATTTCTTGTTGGACACCAGCGAAAGATTTTCCCATGCCTTACAAACAGCCCAGACCAGGATAAGCAGTTCATGTTCAGAATATGCACTCAATGTAAGTGTCGGTAAATTTTTTAGATCAAATATGTCTGTAACACACACAAAAAACGTTCATATTATACCAGGCATTCTGCCTAGATTTGCTTGATTTTCGAAAGCAAATCTTATCATATACATAAACCCTTTACTATTAATAATCAATCGTAAACGTAACACTAATTAAACACAAACCGTTTCAATTTAAAATGAATAATGTATTCATTTAAAAAATAGCCTGCCCTCCTTTTAGGTTAGCTTGACTATCCGACAGATTAAATACTTGTTAGTGCGAATGCGTGTGTTGGGTTGATGGGAAGGTGGGTGGGGAGCACAAGACTGCTTTTCCAAGAGAATTGAGTTCGGATACGAGATCAAAGTCTGTAGGACTTAACTCGTCGCCTTTAGCTCAGACTAGTACATATTGCTTTAAGAAAAGTAAAATTGCTGAGCATAGAACTTGTAACATTATATCTCATATGCTTAGAACACATAAATAGGTAAACTCTACTTTACCTGCCATGTGAACCGTTAGGTCCGAAGCGTTATAACAACATAAAATAACCACTTCAAAGTGAATTGTTTTTCTGCTGGGCAAGGCTGATTTTTTTGTTACTCTATATATCTGTACCTGATTTAATTAGTCGAAAAAAATTAAAGGCCTACTAAAATCTACGATCATGAACGATTCGTTAAATCGCCCGTCTAAATTATTTTAAGTAAATCTATAAGATATAAGGCAAAGTGATCGGATGCCGGTTTGGGCGCTTGCTGGAGCCGCAGGCGCTTCAAATTTGGCAGGCTTTGCATCCGGCTAAATGATCGAGGGAAAAATTCGGTCACGATTACAATACTTTCTATACACTTCGTATACGGGAATGTAAAAATGCATTTAAAAAAACGTATTAATAACAAATTTTTATGAAATAATGAACCGGTCCGCAAACTTTTTGAGGCTATTAGATCAGTATCTTCTGTGATATCTTGAGAACGTAATGATACGGACTTATGTTGAAAATAAATTGTTGGATGTATTAAATGATATAAACTAAATTTTATTTAAAGAACTTAAAAAATACATATTTGAATGAGGAAACACACTTTTAAATATAGGCCTACAACCGGAAAAGTGTTTAATGTTGTGACTAGTCAGGGCAAATAGTCAGAGAGCAAAAAACAATAACGTCACATGTCACATGTTTACACTACGGAAAGTACACAGCACTAATGGCATCATCTTTCCAATTTTAGAATAAGAAGAAATGAACAATTTCATTCAAATTTGATTTAGATCTATAGATCTATAGATCAACTTACCAAGACCTAATTTATGAAATTTCAATAATTTTCTCGGGCCAAACTAATATAAAACTTTATAAACAACATAAATGCTATTGAACAGCCGGGTTTTGAACGGAATCATCTAAGTTTCTCAATGGGCTCGAACGAGAAAAGTCTAAAAGGTATTCGATAGGCGCATTAAATATTTAAAAAATCATGCACGGCGTAGTAACAATTAATATGGTTAGAAAATCGTGTCTTTTTGTGTTTTTTCGGACTTAACTAAAGATTGGATGTATTTGATGTTTTTAATATTTTCGGGAACTAAATAAAAATTTAAAAAATCAAAAACTATTTGGTTTTCACGTGTAATGGCGACATAAACAATGTCTGCTAATCGATGGGCTACCATAGATTTTTATTGTAAACATAAAATGGCAGAACTAAGTCATGTGGTTTAAATTTGCATTGTTATATAAAAACTATATCCAATTTAGTCAAATTTAAGGAAATATTGCATTATTTTCAAGCCTAAACACACGTGCCAACTTTGAAACGAATCTTTCAGTTAGAAATGCCCGAAACTCGCTACAGTTTCGATGCAGAGGGTTATGTACTGGGAGTAATTGATTTAGGAAGTAATGACGGAAATAAAATAATTATAATTAGTAAACAAAATACAGCTTTGTTTGGTTTCTAAGTAAATAATAGAAAGAATTATAACTATAGCAGCAATTTAAATTATGAAAATATTTATTCCATTATATATTCTCAGCCCCGTTTTTATGTCAGAAAGATAAATAAATACTAAATAGGAACATACAAAAATCTATAATAAGACTCTAAATTCCACCAGCGATGAATGCAGTGCACAATATTTAAATACCTAAAAGACCAAAAAAAAAATAGAGGAAATGATGTCGCCTATAAGGCCTATACAAATATTTGATAAAAAAAAAACAGTTTGAAACTTTTGCAATTTAGCCAAAACGTGCGCGACGACCTTCCTTTTGTTACACCCAAGTGTGGCAGTAATAAATCAAATAGGTGCACGCGTTTAGATTTATATATCGGACGATAACCACCCGCCTACCTTACGTATGTAAGCCACAATATTTCCATTATATTTATATATATATATATATATATATATATATATATATATATATATATATATATAGAGAGAGAGAGAGAGAGAGAGAGAGAGAGAGAGAGAGAGAGAGAGAGAGAGAGAGAGAGAGAGAGAGAGAGAGAGAGAGAGAAAGAGATTTTAATGAATTCATAAAAAATTAATTAGGCCTCCAATTAAGTCCAATTTGATGTCAGATTACATTTTTACCGGGTTTTGACACGCGTGCCAAGTTTAAAACGAATCGGTCAATTAGAAAAGCTTGAAATTTCGCTCGGCAGTTTCGATTTAAGACGACTGACAGAAAGACAGACAGTGGAAGCAAGTTAATAAAAAGCTTGTAAAAGCCGTCAGTATTTTTTATCTCAAATAAGTATAAAAATCATCTGAAACAATTAACACTTGACGCGGTGGCCTCCCGTTCAAAAAAACCGAATTAAGCATTGTCTGGTCAGTTTGTTTTTGTTACCCTTGGAGATTTGTCTACGGCCTTAATGCGCAGCATAGCTGGTCGTCGAATATATTTTTTGTAAATGCATAGGTTTATATTGGGGGACGGGGACAATTGAAGTCACATTTTTTTATTGATCGGCACCTCCCCCCCCCCCCCCCACCCCGATTTTTATTCGCCTGTATACATTGCTTTTAACATAAGTCAGCAAGACCATTAGGCTCTACAACAATCTAACTTTTCAATATATTGTACCTTTGTTTTTCTGTGCACAATTGTAAATAATTCTGAATATCAAAGAAACATTTTTTCGAATGATGCGTCATTTTTATTTATTTTTACTTTCTCGTATATACGAAAAATAGAGAAAGTCTTGTAATCGTGCAAAAAAAATCGAGATTTTTACAAATCTCGACGTTTTACACCACACTGATAAGGAAAAACATAATTTTGCAATCTTGTCCGTATTTCTTTCTGTGTGTGTGTCTGTGTGTGTAAACACGATAACTTGAGTACCGTTACAGCTAGGTTGATGAAATTTCATTGAGCGATTTCCGATAACCGGAAGTGGTACTTTTTCTACTTTGAATTTTTCAAAAGCATTTAACTTGAGTACTATTTCAGATAGATAAATGAAATTTCACATGTAAGTAAAAGATCTAATTCTCTACCTTCTGTCAAATTTTGAGTAATTTCCGTTGAACGGAAGTAGAAATTTTCACTCTTTACGATTTCTCAAAACATGCATGTGAATTTATAAAGTACTAATAATATTCCGCACTATTATACACATCTTTATTAGGTGTTCGCTTGGTGCGCAGTTCTTTTTCCACTAGATTCTATTCTATTTTTAAAAGTTTAAGTATTTAAAATGGATTAGAAATCATAACTATATCCCGAGTTCCCATCCCCTGTTGTTTTATATAAGAGTATTCGAGAAAGTTTAGGGGAGATCACTCCCGGTTTATTATAAATGCGATGACATATCATGATGTGACCTTGGCAGAATATTAAATCATTCTGGCTCCTAGCATTTTTATTTATTTAAATGAACTGAGTGCACGTTTTTAATGGTATCAGTTAATGTTGATTACAGGATATTGAACAACACAATATGAGCCAATAACAAAAATTACATCTACTATTATACTGTTTAAAGTAATTAATTTTTATTTGCTGCAATAGCTCATTGATAGGTCAGTGGATGCTTTTTAAATTACTTATACAAAATGTATCACATTTTAGGTTATCTAGTTCACAATATATATTATTATATTTTAATGTACCGACTGAATAGCTGTCCAGCTGTTCAATAACGCTTAATCTAACTGATGAGGAAGTCAATAAAGGCGTTCAGTTTAACTCAGGTAATTTTTTAATTTTTTTTAACTTAATTAGAAAATTTATATTATATTATATTCTATGTAGGCAAAATCAGTTGCTCAAAATGTCATTTATCAGTACTTCTATGCCTCACTTTCAGTATCCCTCAATCATACTTTTTGAAGATTGCCTGAAAAAGTCAAATTTAATTAGTCAAAAAAAACGTTTTTGTGACATTTATTTGTTTAGACCTTTTGCAAAGACGTTACGGATCAGTCATTGTGTAAACATCCGCCATTAGGGTGAGCAAGATCTACGTTTAAACTGGAATAGTAATATTAATAGGAAATGATATTTCAACGCCAAGGGTAGACAAAGGTACAGAAATAGTCCAAGTAAAGACTAGCAGTCAGACACCAACGAGATCCGAACCTACCATTCCACACGGCACCTATTCGCCTTCGCCTTCCATGCATCAAGTCTTGATTAAAATACTCTATTTTGACAGAGTTCAGACAAGATTTTAGAAAAATATCGATGCTTAAAAAAATTTCAACTGCAATTATGAGAGGGGGTTGTAGGCTGATGTGTGACGTCGTTTTAAAGGGGGGGGGGCTGGCTTTTGATGATGACGTGTGACGGAGGGGAGGGGGGGGGGAAGGTAAAAAGCGTCCCAAAAAGCGTGACGTCATTTATGGATGACCCCCTAGGATTCTTTTGTTAATAATTATGACAAACGTAAACTACCAGCATTAATTCATGATGTACTGGCGCTCATTTTGACTTATCCTTACACACAATAACAATTTATACTCCCGCTTAAACAAACTTTCTGATTCATGAGTTCTTTTAGAAGTTTAAAGGGCATAAAACACTATTGCATTTGATCTACTCATCTAAACCATTTTTAGAAGTATGTTTTGCTTAAATATTAATAAAAAATGAATTACCCTACACGTTGCGAATTTGTAAAATAGCACGACAATGTATAAGGCATTGTACTTTTACGTTGTATAAGGTATTATTATTTAAATTTTATTTTTACACTATCATTTGTGCCACCTTCATTACACCTTCCGTTTGTGAATTATGATAAAATAAAAACAATTCACCAACTTTGGTTTATATTTTTAATTTATATCAGAAAAGTTTCTCCCTATCCATTCAATATAATTTCAATGGGCACCTATTACAAGTCCACCTTGGTCCGCAAAATCATTGTCTCAACATGCTTGTTTATGCATTCGGTAAATGCTAAAACTTGCTAAACAAATCAAGTACTATTTATTTATTTTTTGCAGTGGCTAAAAATAAAATGCAATTCGAATGGTTTAAAATTCAGGTTGCTGTTAAATTTCAGATTTTGAGCAAATTTCCATCGCGGGATAAAGTTCCGTTTCTGGCTATATTTCATTACCAGTAAAAATGTCCGTTTTCGGATAGATTTACGTTTCCTTTCTTCAATTCCCTATTTAGTTTAATTATCGTTTCTGCCTAAATTTCCTTGTCCCTTTAAATTTACTTCCAGTAAAAGTGTCGATACCGGATAAAATGCCTTTTCAATAAAAATTTCGTATCTTTTAAAATTTGCGTTTTGCATAAACAAAACTGAATCCGGTAAAAAAAAATGTTTTCAATGAAATTACATTTCCAGTTAAATTTTTGTTTCTGCCCAAATTTTTGTATGTTACTACATTTCCGAATCTGGTTAAAATGCCGATTCTCTTCAATGATATTTTGTTAACAGTTAAATTTCCATTTGTGTCTAAATTTCAGGATGCGGTTCTGGTTAATGTTACCGATTTAATATTATTCCTGGATTAATTTACATTAACAGATTTATGTATCCGGTTAAATTTCTGGATCCGTTAAAATTGCCTGTTTCAATGAAATTTCTTTTACTGCATTTAATACCTAGCCCTCACTCTCTAGCTTTCAATCATTTACATTTACATTCATATTCTAATTAGCATTCGCGTCTGCGTCTGCGTCTGCGTCTGCGTCTGCGTCTACGTCTACGTCTACGTCTACGCTTACGTATACGTATACGTATACGTATGCGTATGCGTATACGATTACGATTACGTTTACGATTACGTTTACGTTTACGTTTACGTTTACGTTTACGTTTACGTTTCCGTTTCCGTTTCCGTTTCCGTTTACGTTTACGTTTACGTTCGCGTTCGCGTTCGCGTTCGCGTTCGCGTTCGCGTTCGCGTTCGCGTTCGCGTTCGCGTTCGCGTTCGCGTTCGCGTTCGCGTTCGCGTTCACGTTCACGTTCACGTTCACGTTTACGTTTACGTTTACGTTTACGTCGACAGTCACAGTCACAGTCACATTCGCGGTTGAGGTTGCGTTGGCGTTGGCGTTGGCATTGGCAGTCGCAGTCGCAGTCGCAGTCGCATTCACATTTACATTTACATTTATATTTATATTTACGCTAGTCTTGCCACTGAAAGCTAAGGAAATAATTATCTAATTTTTTTTCGCATTCGCTCACTCAAACAGTATTTAGATCTCAAGTATTTCAAGTATTAATTACCATTAAGATTAATTTTAAATAACATCCCAAACTATTTTGTCTTAACAGAAGAGCTTTCTCTTGTCAAAGAAAGATTGACAGATAGGGTATTGGAACAATCAAAGTTATTGGCTCTAAACATTACAATATACCAAGTTATCTCAGGCAAGAATACATTTGAATTTAATGTGTTAATTAATGTTGGTGTCTTTTGTTGGAATATTACTTACATGCTTTTATTTTTTAAAACCGATGCGGTTTCTTAGTGGGTTTTAAATTAGTTATTAGAAATAAAAAAGGAAAAAATTATGTTTAAACAAAAATATTTTCATTTAACATATGATTTTTAAGATGATAAACGTAAATATGTATAATCTTTTTAGATGGTAAACATTTTCACAGGTGTCAATAAGATAATTATGGACCTCAATACAGTGGTGGTTCGACACAAAAATGCAACAGAAACCTTTGAAGAAGCGATGCAAAATTTGATTGGTTCTCTAGACGAGATGAAAAAGGTCCTGTTTAAAAATTGTTTTGAAAAAAGTTCAATTACAAATGACCCAAAAGTAAGTTCTATGAAAGTGTTTCATGTTTATTCTCTTTTCATTTTTATGCCCATGACAGATGTGGCAGCTACAGAAAGCTTTTTCCTCGTTTTCGGTCTTAAGCAATTTTTTGGCAGTACCCAGAGGCGTAGCGAGGGGGGGAGCGGGGTGACATAAGTCCCCGGGCGCCGACCTTAGGGGGCGCCAAAATGTGTTGGAAAAAATAAATTGAAAGCTTGAGGGGGGTGCAAATCGAAAGTTTGTCCCCGGGCGCCGGGAAGGGTCGCTACGCCTCTGGCAGTACCCAAGGGAGTCAGTTGTTTCTCTACTGTGAGCCTCCATGTCTCCCCTGGCCTTCGCATTTTTTCCATTTTCATTTAGGGGTTCGACCAAGTTAGGTTTTCGCTTGACCTAATTATTATTATAAGCTTTTATTTAACTTGTTCCCTCTTTCTGGTTGTCGTGCTTTTGTTGTCGTTCGTCATTGATCAAAACTAACGAGCAAAATTTCGCCTTTTAAATTCTAGTAAAAGTATTCAATAATATTAAAGCATTTTTTTTATTTTACTGTTTACCTATGTAATGCTAAGTAAAATTGAAAGTTTAATGATACATGCGGGTGGTATGTCCAAAAAGGTTTCATATACTACTGTCTTACGTGGGACGAAGTGGCCTAGCTATAGAGAGCTAGACTTTATAACCATTAAGTTTGAATCCGGGTTCAAGTCAGTAGACCGTCCCGGAGTCCACACATCTTTGATGGATACCAAGCGCTGATGAGTATTTAACTCACGTTAGAGAATGTAAACGCGGCTAGGCATAGTGCTGACCACACTATTCCTTCATATGCCGAGGTCACAGAAAAGGGTGAACTCTACTTAACTTGCCCGACAGACAGTCAAGTTGGAAGGAGAACTTTACTGTCTAGTTTTGACCTATGCTTAATACTTGTCTACTTTATGGAAAAACAAGTTAATACTTAGTATCTAGAAGCAGAAATCACTTGACTTACATTAAAACCATAAATACATATACATGGGCTGATCACATTTTCAATCTACATCGTTTACTTTTTTATAAATGATTTTGATTTGTTTCATAGAATGCTGCTAAAGAAATTGGACACGCTCCAATGAGGAGTTAGGGTTTTTCGGATGAAAATCACATCCTAATGAAGGATCAAATGTAAATATTTTTTTTACTTATCGTTAAATGTTATTTTTCACTGAATGTCATTCTATCTGTCTAGATATCTGCCGAACTGTTTGACACAACTGTACTAATAATCACGTTTAATAAAGGATTAAGGATGTTGCAAAAGGTAAATTTAGCAATCTCTGCATTTTTTTTTTTTTTGCCAGACGTGAAATATTTTTAACGAGCTGACCCGCGGCGTATCATACGCCGATATTTAGTTGTTTTATTTTCTACTGGGTGGGTGTATCGGTGGATGGATGGATGGATGGATGGATGGATGGATGGATGGATGGATGGATGGATGGATGGATGGATGGATGGATGGATGGATGGATGGATGGATGGATGGATGGATGGATGGATGGATGGATGGATGGATAGATGGATGGATGGATGGATGGATGGATGGATGGATGGATGGATGGATGGATGGATGGATGGATGGATGGATGGATGGATGGATGGATGGATGGATGGATGGATGGACAGATTGATAGACGGATGAACGGATGGACGGATGTATGGATGTATGGATGTATGGATGTATGGATGGATGGATGGATGGATGGATGGATGGATGGATGGATGGATGGATGGATGGATGGATGGATGGATGGATGGATGGATGGATGGATGGTTTAAAAGCCACGTTGTATCTCAATTTTTTGTATTTAATGTCAATACAAGCTTTTATTTAACTCACTGTCTCTGTCTATATAGTAATTTAAATAGTAGTGTATAATTTATTTTCTACTTTTTAGTGCATTATTACATAAAAGCGTGTTATTAAAACGTTTTTTAAGATGAAAAAAATGTAATCTAATGCCCGTCTGGAGGTGTTTTTCTCGTGATGTTGTTTATTGGTTTGTTCAAGGTGTAACTATTTCATCCCCATTTACATTTTAGACTATCACTTACAACGGTTTCAATCTACAGAGACTGTTCTAACCATTTTAAATTTATAAAGAGCGCTTTTATGTTATTGTAAATTTCAGAGTGCAGTTGACATACACAACTTTACAGATATTATCAAGAGTAATTTAGATGATTACAAAGAAGGTTTGACTAAATAAACTTAAAAAATCGTATTTAAATAAATTACTTTCGATTTATATGTTAATGGTATTGAGCAGATTACACAACTGCGATATCACAAAGACAGATTAGTTTTACTTGGAAAAGTTTATTAACATAATTAAAACACTGTATTGAACACTAAGTCACTCTTTTATTAAAAGGCTTTGCTGATTTTATGCTGTTGTTTTTTTATTATTTAGCTTATACAATGCATACATTAAACAAGAGATTTGAAAATATTACTCAGAGAATCAACATAACTGCCACAAAGGTATTTTTACAATTTTAAAAATCGTACTTTATTTTTCTGTTAGGCTACAAAATATTTAAATAAAATGTATCAATTGAATTAAGTAAAGAATTGAATTCTCTAATAAATTATTTTATTGCTAGGATTGTAAAGAAGCTATGGAAAATGGCAAATCAAATATCAAGGGCATTGAAAAAATTAAGGATATTGAGCATTACAGGTGTGTATCTAATCTATATATTCTCTATAATTAAAGTACGTCTACGGCGGGCGGACTGGCTTTGTCTTTAATGGAAATCTAAACGCCCGAATAGATCCGGTTTATTTTTACAACGCTGATGCACTATTAAGCTGGAAAGGTTTGTGCTAAATTCAGTGAATTTTTTTTTTGTTTTTGAACTATTTGTATTGGCCACACGTTTTAGGTCTTCATAATTGAAATATTTTGAGAAGTGTTCAACGCCGGTGCTATTTAGTGTCTTATTTATAGACTGTATTCACCCTTTTAGTCAAATTTATAATTCTGAATAATAATAAAGCGGGAGTGATCTCCCCTAAATCTATCTTCTATATACTACTAAAACTCAAGTTTGTTTACATGTTTGAATATTTATTTGTTTGTCTGATTTGGTACTGTAAGGAAACTGCTCTATATGGGGGGCTGTAAAATAGTATGTAGGTAGAGAACATTTTTGTTATTGCAGACAGACTGTTAATCACACATTTATTTAAAGACTTTAATTAATTTATTGATTTATTCATAGGTAGATTAACCACATTAATTTTAAAGTTTTAGAACAATGGCTTACATTTGACTGAATAGTGACGTTTGCTAACTCATTTTTTTGTTTGTTTGTTTGTTTTTATTTGTTATTTGGGAGAATCTGCATTATGTGTAGAGCTGTAAAATAGGATTTTGGGTGGTATTGTTCTGTCTTAAACACACTGTTAATTACAAACTAATTTAAAGCCGTTAATTAATTTATTGATATATTCATTGGTAGTTTAACCACATTAATTATAAAAGTTTAGAACAATGACTTGAGTAATAGTAAAAAGATTTTTTTTACAACAATGTTTTCAATTATTTTTTCTTAAGGCCTATATGTGAATGATAAGGTTGACTATCAGTACCTCGGGGGGGCACAGGGCAGGTGAAGTAGAGTTCACCTGTTTCTATGTTCTCAGCATATGAAGGGATAGTGTAGTCAGAGCCATGCTCGGCCGCAATCGTTTTTTTTTTAAAATACAAACATGTCTGAGACTTGGCGGGGCACTGGGCAGGTGAAGTAAAGTTGAGTAGGTCACCTGTGACGTCAGTATATGAAGGGATAGTCCGAAATCGGTGTTCTTAAAAGATAAAAAGCATCTCTTTGAATGTGGGGTCTGGGTTTTGGGACGATAAGTGACAGACGTGATGTTTTTTATGGATGACCCTTAAAACCTACAGTTATCTAACTAGATAACGGGTAGTCTAGTATACTACTAAAACTCAAGTTTGTTTACATGTTTGAATATTTATTTGTTTGTACGTTTGGTTACAGGAGAGAATCTGCACTATGTGTAGAGCTGTAAAATAGTATGTAGGTAGAGAACAATTTTTGTTTTCAGACAGACTGTTAATCACAAATTTATTTAAAGACGTAAATTTATTGATTGATTTATTCATTGGTAGATTAACCACATTAATTATAATAGTTCAGATCAATGACTTTACTTATAGTGAATAGTGACGTCACATGATTCATTTACTTTTTACAACATTAATGGCGGCTTCCATTGAATATTTTGATGCCCATTCGCATTATAAAGCTAATTTTCTTTTGGCTATAGCTTAAACGATATGTCCGATTGCTATTTTTATTACGTTCTAACCATGGGCGGAACTACAGTGCCGCCAGACCCCGCAATGCGGGGGGACTCAGGCCGTTTATTGGCCCAGAGCCGACCATAATCAATTTTTTATAGTTAAAAAAATAATTTTCTAGTAAAAAAAAAACAGATCTAATACAGTAGTGATGTTCTACATTTGCTAACACATGTTGCTTCGTAAAGGAAAAAAAATATATAGGCTACATGACTTGTAGTGTGAAAGATAGGCAAACGTTCAAACCACTTCCATGACCTATTTCCCTTTTTTAAATAGTTAAATATGTGTGCTCTTAAGAAACTTTTAATATATTTGCACTAAACAAATTAAAAAAAAACAATTACTTCTCTTAATTATGTTTTTTAATACAAAATAAAGAATGACATAGTATAAAAAGGAAATGTATTAAAAACTAGTAATATAAATGATAAAAACATAAAAATGAACATAAGGCGAGAAACCATTACACATACAAAGCTTTCATGCTTCAAATTCTTTTGACCGACAGAGAATTTCAAAGCAAACCATTAGCAATCACACAAATGATGTGTTGTTTCAACATGTTTTAATAAAAAAAAAAAAAAAAAAAAAAAAAAAGAATTTTTAATATTTTTCGAATTTCGATCAAGCCTATATTAAGTATTTTATGTACGTATTTCGTAATTTCGTATATAGGGTCCTATTATATATATATATATATATATATATAGGCCCTATATATATATATATATATATAGGCCCTATATATATATATAGGCCCTATATATATATATATATATGCCCTATATATATATAGGCCATATATATATATATATATATATATATATATATATACATATAGGCCCTATATATATATATATATATATATATATATATATATATATATATATATATATATATATATATATATATATATATATGGGGCCCAACAAATTTTTTTGCGGGGTGGCCTTTTTACTTTCTCGTATATACGAAGTATAGAGAAAGTATTGTAATCGTGCACAAAAATCACTTGAAATTTTAACAATTTTCACCGTATTACACCTCAGTCCTTCATCACATCCGAAGTATAGAGGACTTATTTTAATCGGGCAAAAATTATCAATCCAGATTTATCAGAATTAAGATGTTTTATGCGTAATCCAGTCTGAATAACTGGGCTTTGCAATTCTGTCTGTGTGTCTGTCTGTCTGTCTGTGTGCGTGTGTGTGTGTGTCCGTGTGTAAACAAGATAACTTGAGTACCATTACAGTTACGTTGATGAAATTTTATATATAAGTATTTTATCAAAATCGTAGATTCGTGTCAACTTTTGAGCGATTTTCGATAACCGGAAGTGGTACGTTTTCTACTTTGAATTTTTCAAAAGCCTATAACTTGAGTACTATTTCAGATAGATAAATGAAATTTCACATGTAAGTATAAGATCTAATTCTCTACCTTCTGTTAAATTTTGAGTAATTTCCGTTGACCGGAAGTAGTAATTTACGCTACTTCCGATTTCTAAAAAAACTAATGTAAACTTTTAAAGTACTAATAATATTGCGCACTATTATGCACTTTTTTAATTTGACGTTCACTTGGTGTTCAATTCTTTTGTCTACGAGATTTTATTCTATTTTTAAAACTTTAAGTATTTAAAATGGATTAAAAATCATGTCAATAGCCCGAGTTCCCATCCCCTGTTGTTTTATATAAGAATATTCGAGAAAGTTTAGGGGAGATCACTCCCGGTTTATTTTCCAATTCCGCCACTGGATCTGACACTAATAATTTTCAACAGTTCTTTTTATTTTAGTATACAATAAATTTCTCTAGACATCTAGATCTAGAATCTAAATATATCAGCTGACGAAGGTAGTAATTAATAGATCTAGAATCTAGGTCAACCAAAATTAATTATTTAAAATTAAAAAGCCTTTTAAAATCAGAATACATTATTGAGTTTCTTTATTAAACTATTTTAGTCCTTAAATATTTGATATAAATATTTGCTTTTTAGGTTCACGGATCATCTAATTCAAGAATACGATTGATTTATCTATCTAGATCTAGCTAGATATAGATTCTAGGTTCTAAAGTTAGAGTTACGGCAAAAACTCGGCTTAACGAAACAAGTCATAGAATCTAGATAACTCTATCTAGATCTAGATTATAATGAGTTTCTATACAAAACTATTTGAGACCTTCATTATTTTATACAAATCTTTGTTTGTTTAGCTATGGAATTGGCTAATTTAAGATAAAATTTAATTTGAAAGATACTAGATCTTTAGATCTAGGGCCTATTCGCGACAATCAAGTTTCTTAAACAGAGTCAAACTATTTATATGGAGTACATAATGTGTCATGACGTCACGAGCATAGATAGCTAAGATGATAGTGTATTTGGCTTCCATGCGGGTGGCACGGGTTTTAGACACATCATGTCAATGTTATTTTTTTTTCAGTTTACGTCGTTTTAAATGTGGGGTCTGGTTATTTTGTGATGATAAGTGACAGACGTGATGTCATTTATGGATGACCCCCCGAAACCCTCAGTTATCTAACTAGATAACGGGTAGTCTAGTATAACACTATGGGGGATGGCAACTAGGGATATAGATATGATTTGTAATCAATTTTTAAAATTAAAATTAAATTAAAATAAAGTAGAATAGAATCTCATAGAAAAAAATAATAATTGCGCACTAAGTGAGCGACAAAGAATATGTGTATAATAGTGCGGAATATTAGTACTTTATAAATTCATGCGCGTTTTTGAGAAATCGGAAATAGCGTAAAGTCATCCGGTCGACAGAAATTACTCCAAATTGGACAGAAGGCAGAAAATTAGATCTTTTACTTAAATATGAAATTTCCTTTACCTATATGAAGCAATACTCAAGTTACAGGCTTTTTTTTTCTTCTTCTTCTTCGTTCTTAATTTTAAGTGTTGGAGAAGATCGAGCCTTATCTGCCAGAGGGTTTGCATTCGAGACTTTTTTCGAATTTATCAACCATGAGCTTTTGCCGACTCGACCACACCTCCATCACAATTAAGGATTACGTGTCAACTGGTTATGCGCCATTGAGGCCATTGACTCCGATTTCCGCCTGCTTTTCTTTTTGGATTTGCTTCCATAGCCTTTGTCTAACCAAGAACAAACTACAAGGCAGCAGTTGTTTGATTTTGGAGTTGTCTATCCTTGAAGAGCGGCTGTCCCAAGCTAACGAGCCTCATCTGCCCGAGGGTTCGAACTCGAGACTTTTCGGTTTAGCAACCATGAGCTTTACCGACTCGACCACGCCGACAGGCTTTTAAAAAAACCAAAAGTAGAACAAGTACTACTTCCGGTTATCGGAAATCGCTGAAAAGTTGATACAGAGCTACAAATTTGATATAATACTTATAAATGAAATTCGATCATCCTAGATGTAAAATAAAAAATAAAAATCCTGCTATAATTATCAATCAGGTTTTACTTTTATTTCCATTTAAAAGCTCAACTCAGCTGCATTGTTTACTAAATGTTAATTATTTTATCTCTACTTTTGGTCAATAGCAATAGAATTTTAAAAGATTTGATGAGATAGATTCAATTGGGTTGCTGTTTCGATACTAAGTTTAGATTAATAGCATTTAATTCTTATTAAATTTCAAATTATGTTTAAAAGTGGTGTTGGTTTATCATACGGCTCCTTTAAGATAATTGAGTTACAATAATTAGGAATGTAATTTGTGGCAATATTTTTGATTAATGTATTTGCAATACATTTTTATTATTCCAGTGAATTTGAGTAATAGCTAACGGTAGGTTGGAATTTCCGGTTCGATGAAGTGGTACTGTAGGTCAATACATTAGTTAAGTGTTATAACGTAAATACGCATTTAATTGGAAGTTAGGGGTCTGTTAGAGCTCATGTTAAATTGGTATTATAATTATATTTAGTGACGATGTGTGACGAGCGGAAACGGACGGATAACTAAGAATGTGTGGGGAAAATGACAATAAGAACCTGTTAAATACACCCGGTTATTCACCCCTACCAGATCCATACATTAACTCCGAAGGTCAATTACACCCACCCCCAATACATATGCCCGCCCAAATAGTAGCAGTAGGACATCACCCCCAATCTATTAATATGTTTCTGTGTGTTTGTGTTTATGTTGTGAGCTTTAGTGAGGTTTAGGGTTTATTTTTGTAATTATGTGGTTGTTATTTTAGGCAAAGAATTGCGGAGAGGGAAGGCGATTTATGTTTATGTTTATGTTCATGGTTGAGGTTGTGGAGAAGGATTATGTTTATATTTAAATTTACGTTTACGTTTTTTTTTTTGTTTCAGTTTAAGTTTATGTTAGGTTTTAAGTTTGTGATTTTAGGTACAAGTATAAATATCTTATATTTACTGGGAATTTTAATGTTTGAGTAACCTCAGATAATTGGAAGTGGAACTTTAATCTATTTCCGGTTTCTTTAACACCTATAAGGGGTCATCCATAAATGACGTCACGCTTTTTTGGACGATTTTTACCTCCCTCTCCCCTCCGTCACACTTCGTCACAAAAAGCCAGACCCCCCCCCCCTAAAATGACGTCACACCTCAACCTACAACCACCCCCCTCAAAATTGCAGCTGAATTTTTTTTTAAACATCGATATTTTTCCAAAATCTTGTCTAAACTATTACAATTTATTAAAACAGTTATCTAAAACGCAAAATAACGTCTAGAATTCGTTTTCTAACATTGCTTTTTTATAATGCAAAAATGTGACGTCGCAACATCTGAACCCCCCTCCCCCTCATCACACATCGTCACAAAATTACGGACCCCCCCTCCCCCTACGAGTGTGACGTCATTTATGGATGACTCCTAACTTTAGTACCTTTTTAGTTAGATGGAGGAAATTCCATACATAAGTATTTGCACTTAAAAGTAGTTTTCTATCGATTTTTTGAGTGATTTCCGGTAATGGGAAGGGGTTCTTATCAATGTTCTCGATTTCTTAAAAAGTGTTTACTTTAATTATATATAATTCCCATAAAGCATACTCTACTAACTCTTCGCCTCCGTGTTTTTTTTTCCGAAAACGAGTGGTTTTGTTATAATCTGAAGCTTTTTCAAATTCTATCAATTTGCGTAACGAAATGTGTCAAAGATTTACGTGAAAATTACGTGCTTCTGTTTTGGGCGTTTCTTTATGCATTGCTCTCCAAATTTTATTTTATTTTAAAAAAATTCAACAAAACATACATGTTTGAGTTACCGTTTAAATTTAGATAAGGTTATTAATGAATGAAACAACGTCTAGCCGTTGATGCTAGTAGTGCTTATTAGGAAAATACGGGTATTTCTATAATTATTTCTGTTTTCAGATGGACCACTTGCCTTTGGCTTACTAGTAGTCTATTGGCTTTTGCAATAGTCCTATGCACCAGCATAATTTTAAAGGCAAAGAACTGTTTTGAGAAAGTACCAAAATGCCCTGCCAGGTTATTGAAACAGTATGTACACTTCACCTTGATGAATGATAGATAATACACTACTATAATATACAATCGGTATTATTTAAATGTTTAAGATTTTTATATTTTTATAAAACTAATGTGCATGCATTAGGAATAAAAGACAATGTCGGCTGAGAATGAGACTGAGTGGTCGAAAGGTAGAGAGTTCGACTGTTAACAATAAACTCCCGAGTTCGGATCTCGGTCTGTACTTGGGTTTGCACAACTTCCCTGAGTCCAGTCAGCTCTAACGAGTACCAGACATAAATTAGTAAAATAAATTATTTTATTGCGGCTGGGCATAGTTATGACCACGCTATCTCTTATATGCCTAGGTAATTTGAAACTGACTAGGTAACGTTAGGTTTGAAATGATACTTTATTTTATTCAGCTAAAAAAATAAAAGCCATTTTTTATATGTCAAATTTATGTTTTAGCATTTCAAATTGTATATGGATTGTGGGATTATTCCTATTGACAATAGCCGTGTGCCTAAATTTTTCAAAAATGGCCTCACTCTCCTGCATTTCGGTGATAAAATCAAGTTTCAATCCTTTAGTTGTAAGTATGATGCTGATTTTAAATTATTCTATATTTTAAATGATGATTCAGCAACATTAAAATCAGAATAACATTTTTTTAACCATTTTAGATATTGAACAAACATCATTGCATGTCACATACATACGCTTTAATTGTTATTAGTTACAAGCTATCAACTACTCATAATTTTTTGCACTTTATTCTTCCGGGGTTACACACACCTGACTTCTAGGCCTACTTGCATAGGATCCTTCTAATAAAATATTTACAAACAATCCTTCCTCTTTTTATACCCATAAATAAATGCCCATTACCGTTAGTACCTTTGTTCGCCGTCTCCCCAGCAGTTGAAACATTTTATATGTCGTCGTCTAGTGCTTCTTCGTCGGTCGTGTTAAGCTGGACTCTGTCTTCTGTGCTCCTGGAGATATACAGCCTCGTTTTGCTTGTACCTTTCGTCCTCTGTGTAACTCTTATCATTATCTCTGAGATATTCTGAGCCCTAATATCCACTGTCCCCTAGACCTGACATCCACTGTCCCCTAGACCTAACATCCACTGTCCCCTAGACATAACATCCACTGTCCCCTAGACCTGACATCCACTGTCCCCTAGACCTAACATCCACTGTCCCCTAGACATAACATCCACTGTCCCCTAGACCTAACATCCACTGTCACCTAGACCTAACATCCACTGTCCCCTAGACCTAACATCCACTGTCACCTAGACATAACATCCACTGTCCCCTAGACCTGACATCCACTGTCCCCTAGACCTAACATCCACTGTCCCCTAGACCTAACATCCACTGTCCCCTAGACATAACATCCACTGTCCCCTAGACCTAACATCCACTGTCCCCTAGACCTAACATCCACTGTCCCCTAGACCTAACATCCACTGTCCCCTAGACCTAACATCCACTGTCCCCCAGACCTAACATCCACTGTCCCCTAGACATAACATCCACTGTCCCCTAGACCTGACATCCACTGTCCCCTAGACCTAACATCCACTGTCCCCTAGACATAACATCCACTGTCCCCTAGACCTAACATCCACTGTCACCTAGACCTAACATCCACTGTCCCCTAGACCTAACATCCACTGTCACCTAGACATAACATCCACTGTCCCCTAGACCTGACATCCACTGTCCCCTAGACCTAACATCCACTGTCCCCTAGACCTAACATCCACTGTCCCCTAGACATAACATCCACTGTCCCCTAGACCTAACATCCACTGTCCCCTAGACCTAACATCCACTGTCCCCTAGACCTAACATCCACTGTCCCCTAGACCTAACATCCACTGTCCCCCAGACCTAACATCCACTGTCCCCTAGACCTAACATCCACTGTCCCCCAGACCTAACATCCACTGTCCCCTAGACCTAACATCCACTGTCCCCTAGACCTAACATCCACTGTCCCCTAGACCTAACATCCACTGTCCCCTAGACCTAACATCCACTGTCCTCTAGACCTAACCTTTAACAAAATCTTTATCACGTCTTGTCCACCTTTATTTTATACTCATATTAGACTTAAGTGCAGTAATATAACAACAGGGTTTCTCAAGTATAGCTTTTGAAGTTACACGTAACAACTTCATTTATTAGAAAACGCAAACAATAAACGATGTTGCTATTGTGTGGAGATGTATTAGTATGTTTGTTATGGTACAATTTATCTTGATTTAAATTTGTGTAAAAACTCCATAAACTGAAAGGTATTTTATGTTTCCTAGCTAATTGGCCTATTAGTATTGGTCTGTTGTATGCAAATAGAGGACTTTGTAACTGATCTGTAAAAATTGTATTTATTTTAAACAAAAATTTAAAATTCAATTCTAAATTTCATTTTAAAGCTTTAAGTGTCTCGAAATAAAGTTTAGCTATATTTTTAATAAACAAATATTTCTTTCCAGTACGATTATAATCAACCTGATTTTATAATGACACCCTTAGAATCAGTGACTACAGAAAAAATAACATTGGATTTAATCAAACAAGCTGAGTAAGTAACCTGATTTTCATACCAAGGTGAAACATTCATACGAAACACTAATAATTTCTGTTACGTTAAATCTTGTCAATGATAACCGCCTTTATATTAGAGTAGCATCCCCTTGACTTCCTATTAGTGTACTTCTCTTTGATTCTTGGGTGCTCAACTCTAGACGGTACTTATTAATTGTTAATAAAGTTCTTCATGATAAACGACATAATGTAACATGTTGGCAGCAGTAAAATTGTTACACTGTACTGAACTCGAGGCCATTTGATGTTGGTTGTTTCTCTCATCGTGTAATTGAAGATAGCCCAGCAAAGAAACGATGGCAATACACAAATCCACCATTCTGTTGACCCAATACCCTAAACTCCTGCGGCTTTATCCTATACCATTCATGAGATACTACAACCAACACTATCATTTAATAATGAACATGTAGCTGAGTCTACTAAACACAATCAACCATGACAACAATAGTCCTAAACCTTCTCTGAACTTCCTATGCGAACACTTTATGTTAATATCCAATCCATATATATCTCTCATAATTACAATCTAATATTCCCCTATTTCAAAAAAAGAAAAGAAGGATGTTACGTTAGGCCTTGTCAATTGTAACCACTTTTATATTACAGTTCCCTTGGCTCCCTTTTTATTCTAGGTGGTTCATTAATGTTACGTCGTAAAGTTTTAAATATTTAAATAAATTTTTAGATTTGCATTTATTTATGAAGTAAAACAATTATTATACTTTTGATTTTTTAAGTTTGATAATTGGAAAAAAAACACTATGCACATGTTGAAGCATGGAAATGAAAGATAGGTAAATTAAAATTTTCAATGTTAATTTTTTTTTCGCACAGGTTGCTTCAAATAATCTACAAAATCCCAAAGCTTGATGTTGTGCAGAATGTAGTGGATTCAATTAACAAAAATCTGTCTATTGCGTCGTCACGAAGATACACGTCCAAACATTGTTTGGATGAGCTTAGTTACTTTGTCGAAAAACATCCAACACACAATATAGATGTATGTAGTGTCACTTATCAAATAGAAGTGTTTCAAAATGAATAACTTCCTTCTAGTCATATTACGTATACACTATTATTGCTGCATACCTCTGCATTATAAAAGTATCACAAACTAAGTCATTTTATTTTCCTCAGCCTAATGTTTCACACTATACTGAAAAGCTGAACATGCTACTGCGTGAGGATATGCGTAATTTGAACCTATCAGCTGTAAGGATATATTACATCTATGTCTATTATTTAAACAAAATAAATGAAAAACAGAAAAGATCACACATTTTTACTATATTTATTTGAATATATTTCTTTTGTTTTTAAACAACTGCATGATATATTACAATAAAATATGCTGTTGTAAAAATATGACCAATTTGCATTTTAAAGTCATACTATATCTTTGTATCAAAGAGTATTTTGAAAACCGTGGTGGCGGAGGTCAATCAGACTACTATAAAAGTTAATAAGGTAATTTATTTTTATCTAATTACTCACAATAATTATAACTATTTTTAATATACTGTAGAAATGATGACAAAAACACAAATAAACGAAAATCAACACATCACAATATTGACGCGGCAATAAGGTAAAAAATAAATACAAAAGGTTCATAATACGCATCTAAATGTAATTTAGTGTATTATATTTGTAAAACAACGGCAGTCACGAATACTTTAAATTACAATAATAATATTCAAAACTTCCTTGGTAAAAATTTAGAATCGATGGAGCAAAATAAACAATAGCACTTCTAAATGCTACAAACAACCTTTTTTGGGCTGAGTGCTTTTAGAAATAGTATCTGAAGATTAACTTGTCACATTTCATAGTACATTTGTCCAATTTTGTACAGATTAAAATATAATAAACCGGTAGTGAACTCCCCTAAACTTTCTCGAATATTCTACGGGGGATGGCAACTCGGGACTTAGACAATATTTTTAATCCATTTTTAATTACTTAAACTTTTTATAATAGAATAGAATCTCGTAAAAAAAAGAATTGCACACCAAATGAACAACAAATAAAATGTGCATAATAATACGGGATATTATTAGTACTTTATAAATTCACATGCGTTTTTTGAGAAATCGGAAATAGCATAAATTACTACTTCTGGTCAACGGAAATTACTCAAAATTTGAAAGAAGGCAGAGAATTAGAACTTTTCCTTACATGTGAAATTTCATTTATCTATCTGAAATAATACTCAAGTTATAGGCTTTTGAAAACTTCAAAGTAGAAAAAGTACCACTTCCGGTTATCGGAAATCGTTCAAAAGTTAATACGGGTCTACGATTTTGATATAATACTTATATATGAAATTTCATTAACCTAGCTGTAACGGTACTCAAGTTATCGTGTTTACACACAGACACACAGACGCACATACACACACAGAAAGACATACGGACAAGATTGCAAAACTATGTTTTTCCGACTCAGGAAGCCTTAAACGTCGAGATTTGCAAAAATCTCGTTTTTTTCGTTTTTTTTTTTTTTTTTTTTTTTTTTTTTTTTTTTTTTTTGCACGATTACAAGACTTTCTCTATACTTTGTATATACGAGAAAGTAAAAATGACAGGACCCATTTAAAAAAGGAACATCATTTAACGAACTGCTGTTAAAATAGGCGATATAAATATGAAAATAAAGTATTTATTAAATGACAGATCTTATTAAAACTGATATTTGAAAACACATTTTAGCTTGTCGCAGACAAGTCCAACTTGGCCGTGATGATTGCTACATCTAATATAAGTGATGTTTTGTTCACAGTAAGTGTGTTATGTCTTTATTTTATTTATATTCATGTTTACTAAAGCCCTCGTGGCATGTTTGGTAACAAACTGTTCATCTTGATCAGCTTTTACGTTTTATTAATTGAATATTCGAACAACTGATTTAACTAGTAAATGTGACTTAAATGCTGACAATACCCTGACTTAAGTTATTGTGTGCTAAGAACGTAATTAATTTTTATTGTGCTTAGTTTTACATAACATTTACTAGTTTAAAATTTGTCAGGGGAATTAGATGCTACTTAAACTGTGTAAAATTTGTCAATGGCATAATGGACTGAATACGTTGAGTGGTCTTAGTAACGAATACGGTATTTGAATCCGCCACATAAAATAAATAAAATAGTAACTGAGGTAAAATCTCTACCAAACATACATCATTTGAAGCTATAGAAATCTCTGGCTAGAGAAAATGTTTAACATTCTCAGTTAACATAATGCAAATTCTGTAACGGTCAGTGGCGTAGCGAGGTCGGGTGTCACCCGGTGCGGCACTTAATGGTGTCACCCCCCCCCCCCCCAGAGGCATAGAGACCCTTCCCAGGGACAAACTTTCAAATTTTCGATTTGCACCCCCCCCCCCTCAAGTTTTCGATTTGCACCTCCCCCCCCCCCCCTCAAGTTTTCGATTTGCACCCCCCCCCCCCCTTAAACTTTCGATTTGCACCCCCCCCCCTCGAGTTTTTCTCTATATATTTTGCTGTTTTTTGCCTTGGTGTCACCCCCCTACATGGTGTCACACGGTGCGGTCCGCACCCCCCGCCCCCCCTCGCTACGCCCCTGGTAACGGTTACATGTTGATTTTCCAAACTTATGCTAATAAACACATAAAAATACTTTTAAAGTAAATATTGTCAAAATATTGATTTTCTTTTAATGTCTTTTAGTTGTTCAAAGAACTACAGCAGATAGTTACGCGGCAACAAAATGTTATAATTAGTGAATTTCATAAAAAGGTCAGTTTTTAAATGTATTGGATACTGTATACAACAACCAAAAATATAATCTGTATTGGGAAATTTATTTATACAAGTATAGCATCATTTTTGCTTAGCAGTCATTTAATACGTTGTTTCATGTATTTTTATATACGAAAATTAAAATAATGTTGTGTTTGGGAGTAAAATATGTTTTTAAATTTCAACAATGAATAAAAACTGCTAATACAAGATATAAAACATTTGTGCGTTAAATTTGTATATTATATAGTCATCATCATTTAGAAATATTTGAGATACAAAACATCATCCTCAGAAAACTATGTACGACTTTGTTTTACTTTGCAGATGCAGGATGGTTTCAATCATGCAAATCACTCAATGAATACTTGTGTAAATAATAGTGAAATTCTCTGCAAGGAATTTACAGAGATAGCGGTCTGTAATTCTTCTTTTGTGTAGAGTGTGTAAAATAATCTAAATACTCACAAGATTGCAGAATATTACAGTAAATAATCTACTATAATTAATAAGGGTATAGGCTTATACGGCTATTGATATAGTTAAAGGCATTTGTTTTATCGTTTTGGTTTGACTTCTCTTAAACCTAATTAAAAAAATTTAATATATGTTATGATATCTGTTACGATTTAGTCTCACTATTTTTTTCAATATGTAAATGTTCTTATTTAGACTACGTGGTACATCGCTTTCGTCGCGGCTCTTGTCTTGCTCATAGCTTGCACAGCAATGCAGAATGTCTTACTATGCTTGGCAAAGAACGCAGTTGCTCCAGTATGTGTTAACTCTTTATATTATTTTTCTACATAGTTTTAAATTACCGTGCAATATGTCGTTTAAAGAAAACAAAAGCTACCGTGGGATTTTTTATATTGTTTTTTTTTTATTATTTATCATCCTTTGGTGACACTGTCTGATTTATGTTTGTTTATTTAAAGATGTTATCATATTTTCATTATAATAGAAATCTTATGTTGACTTTTTAAAAATATTTTCCAAAAGCTTGCTGATAGCACGAAGGAAGACCCTGAGGTTAATGACGATGCTGATAAGAAAAATGAAGAAAAGACAACCAACAATGGTGAAGAGAGAGTTGATGCTAAAGAAGTGGACGTGAAAGCTACAGAAATTTGTGGAAATATAGAAGATGGCATATTGATTGACGATACTGGTACTAAAAACGCAGTTGATCCAGTATGTGTTAACTCATTATATTTTATATTATTTTTCTACATAGTTTTAAATTACCTTGCAATATGTTGAAGAGAAGTCGTCGTTTAAAGAAAACAAAAGCTACCGTGGGATTTTTTATATTGTTTTTTTTTAATTATTTATCATCCTTTGGTGACACTGTCTGATTTATGCTTGTTTATTTAAAGATTTTATCATATTTTCATTATAATAGAAATCTTATGTTGACTTTTTAAAAATATTTTCCAAAAGCTTGCTGATAGCACGAAGGAAGACCCTGAGGTTAATGACGATGCTGATAAGAAAAATGAAGAAAAGACAACCAACAATGGTGAAGAGAGAGTTGATGCTAAAGAAGTGGACGTGAAAGCTACAGAAATTTGTGGAAGTATAGAAGATGGCATATTGATTGACGATACTGGTACTAAAAACGGGGAGGTTGGTGATAATGTTGGAGATAGTCAGTTAAAAGAAGGGACAAAGATTGTGTGGTGGGAGAGGTTAAGTGGTTTAAAATGTATATACGTTCAGTAATAAACATATAATATATTCTAGTTCGGAGATGTGTCCTTCCGTAGCCTGACACAAAGTGTTAAACCAAACCGCAAGTCCAATTTGAAATGTATAATACAACAATCAATATACTACTCGTACTCTATTCAATTTATTTTACAGTTTCAGCTGTCTCCTTACAATACTCGATTTCTAGCTGCTATAACCAGAGTAACTTTACAGGCAGAGCCCCCCTCTTCCCCCCCCCCCCCCAAGAAAGTCTACCGCCCCCCACCGACATGGAATTTATATAGAAAACATATTCTTTTACAAGTGTCCGCCCCCCCCCCCCAGGAAAACGTTGACCGCCGCCCCCCCCCGAAAATATCAAATGCCCTCCCCCCCCCCCCCCCCGGAGAAAAGAGTCTAGAAGAAACACTGGCTGCATTTAATTTCTACAAATGACTGTTAAGCTTCGTTATTCCTATCCAACTACTGCATGGCACTTGAGTTCTCCCTACACGCTCCAACAACCAGCTGCTAACGCTATCTATCTCTCAACTCCCCACTGAAGGTTCAGTGGTCAGCTGACCGTCTCACGCAAATGGTCATTTGTTCATATTGGTTCTGCTTGACTAATGTGTAGCTGACCTACGCTATGCTACCTCTCGCTTTTCTATAACCTATATTTAAATTCTAGTAAAGGTATTCAATACATACTATTATAGTGACCCACACTTTTATGTTAGTTATTTAAAGCAGTTCATTATTATATTTTTACATAAAATCATTTATTTTCTCCTTTTTTAGTGCATCCTATTATATAAAAGCCCATGTGCGCACTTCTCTCTCTCTCTCTTTCTCTCTCTCTCTATCTCTCCACATATCCATAGCCTAAGAGATCAGTATCTTCAGCGATATATGGAGAACTTAAAGATACGGACTTTTGTTGAAAATAATATTGTGGATGTTTAAATCTATAAACTGCGTTTTATTTAAAGAATAAAAATAAAGGCATATTTGAATGTAAAAACACATTTTTAGTTATGCAACCGTAAAAGTGTTTATGGTTGTGATAAGAACGCAATAAACAATGACGTCACATGCTACAAGTTAAACTATGTAAAAAAACACAACATTGATGGCGTTATCTTCAATTTTAGAATATGAAGAGATGTACTATTTATTCAAATTTGATTTAGATCTAGATTCTCTAAATCTATCAAGATGTACGCTATAAAAAGTATACAATGTTATCGGTTAAACTAAAACAAATTTCTTTAAAAAAACATATTGACCATTGAACAGCCGTGGTCTTTTAATCTGTGTGTGCATTTAATATGGTGTTGTGTTGACAATAAAGTATTTGATTTTTCTAATAGATATTGGTAGCCTATGTTATGTTAACTGCGTCAAATATTTTTAGCTATTTAGTTACTTCTTTTTTGTATGACTAATATCGTTCAACGTGTACTAAAACACATTGCATTTTGACCAATAACTTCTTTATAAAATATTTTTTTCTAAAACAAGTACAACATTAAAAAATATATATGGGCCTATAAATCACGTTTAATGGGTACCGATAGCTAATTATTACATAAAAGCTTGCTATTAAAAAGCTTTTTATGCAATTTTTGTTAAATTCTCCTACTAATTAGTTTTTAATTTCCCCGAACACAATAATTAAGAACTACGTATCAAAATGTAATGCGCTGACTCTTCTTTGTGGATTTATGTGTCCATCCATGAACAAACTACAAGGTACTACTAGATTGGCTTCTAACTCGGGACTTTTCGGTTTAGAAATGTGATCAAGCCGATAGATGGTTTAAGTAATACGTTCAATCATATGGTAGTTGATTGGTTTTAGTAATGCGTTCAATCATACGGTAGTTGATTGGTTTTAGTAATAAGTTCAATCATATGGTAGTGATTAGCAAAGGCAGATTTAAAAAGCCATCGTTTTAAAAAAAGGTTTTAGAGATTGGCTGCAGTGGACTTTATCTGTAACGTAAGCATAAAACTATTTCCCACAAACGCTACTCTGCCAGTTAACTTTTTCCATATCACTAAAGTCCTGAGCTAAATTGTAATGTACGTTTTGTTTTATGGCTTAGAAACGACGACAAATGCAGACACTTGTTTATAACTGAATACGAAGTTGAAATTTCACAAATACATTGGACAAATATAATAAAGACACTATAGCTTAGAAGTTTGATTATATACCAAAGATAAAAGATATAGCCGAATTTTCAAATAAATATGTCGGTTTTTATCAACAGAACCCTACAGGTACTGCAAACAAAAAAAAATTCTATATCACTCAAAGATGGAATCCGTCAATCATTGTAGCATATGAGGATACAAAGTTATAACGAGTGAGTAGACCTATAATTTCTAAACCTGAATATTAAATAGTTGTCGTAAAATATGAGCATCAAGTAAAACAAAATGCCCTCAAAATGTTTTTACTCTGTTTATTATAGATGTAATCGATTTTACTGTGTAAACCAACTATTTTCAAATATAATGTAGAAATGTTCATTTTTAGATTATTATAAAAATCATTTTAATATTTTACTTTCCTATTATATTCTTTTCATCGAACATTTAAACGGTCAACTTTTAGCACATGGGTTCCAAAACTGTGGGCCGCAACCATCAAAAAGGTCACGAAGGGCTCTCTGGGGGTCGCCAATTGGTAGACTAAACAAAATTCCACTACATAATTATTTTCTTTTAAAGTTTTTAACGGCGTCTTGACATTTAAATTTCAAATTGACGACCAAATAGAGAGCCTTTCCTGTAAATACTTCTATATACATTTCTAATTTTTTATTATTTATTCTGATTTCGCTATTTCATAATAAATCTCGTGATTCCGGCGAGCATTTTTTTCCCGGCTGACGTTTTAAAAACATTAACATAGTATTGAAGTTCTTAGATTGTTCTTAGTCCTTTTGAGACGAGTCAATCGGAACACAACAAAAAGATATGGAGTTCTTGCGTCGGCATGAAGCTAGTTGCAAACGTGGGAGACCTGATCGAACAGGAAATTATTTTTACCAAAGAAACATAGCATTAGTGAAAGCATCTTAATATGTAGTCGCATTTGAGAAAATCTCATCAAATCCTGCATGTTGAAGATGCAACAAATACCTCTGTCTAATATTACTATTCAGCGGCGTATAGCCGAATTGTCCGTAGGTGTTAAAGAACAAATTCTGAATGAAATCAAGCCTTCACCATCGTTTGTTTTTCAAGTTAATGAGTCAACAGACGTGAGTTCGTGTTTGCAGTAGCTTGACTTTGTGAAATATATTTATTCCGATGATATCGAAGAAGAATTTCTGTTTTGTTGTTAACTTGAAACTACTACAATAAGTGAAGATATCATGGAGACAATAAATACGGTTTTTTGAAACTGGAGGATTAAAATGGGAAAACGGCTGTGGGTTTTGTACGGATTGTGTGCCATTTATGTTTGGGTCAAAATCGGGCTTTCAGAAAATAGTAAAAGATTTAACTCCCCGATCAAGGGGAATCCACTGGATGGTTCACAAGTATGTCCTCGCCAGCAAGACGCTTCCGACTCCTTTGCTAGAAGCACTTAATCTGATAATAAAAGTCGTAAATTATATTAAATCTGCAGCCCTAAAAACCTCTCTGTTTAAAGAACTGTGTAAAGACACGAATTCTGATCACAAGGTTCTGCTTTTTCTACACTACAGTAAGCTGGCTGTCAAAAGGATATGTTGTGAATCGCATTTTTATTGAAAGACAAAATCAAGTTGTTCTTGAGAGTGCAAAGGAAACAACACCTTTTCATATACTTTAACAACAAATAGTGGTTGGAGAGAGTATCATACAAAACAGATATATTCGAACCTCAACATAAGCTTAACCTGAAGCTTCAGTAAAAAGAAACGAATATTATCTCTTTTCATGATAATCTCGGAGTATTTATCACTTACCGTGTTTAATGAAAACCTGCTCACACAATTCCCGGTGTGGTATGCACCAGTCATATCCAAACATGTTCTAGTTTTAGTTCCTGTTGTGCCTACATATTTTTGCGAAAATATATTTTCAACACTTCTCCAAACAAAAACAAAAAAGAAATATTAAGAATGACATGAGGTTGGCGTTAACAAAAACTCATTTACTGTTTCTTAAAAGGGGTCGCCACTTGAAAAAATTTGGGAACTTGTGTTTTAGCACTTTCAAATCGACCAATTATTTAAAAAATAATTTATAGAAGCTAGCTCTAAATTTTTAATAACAATTTTAATTGTGTTAAATATAGTTAGATACATCATCTCTCTATAAAAAAACATTTTCCTTTTCTATGATCACATTTAATTTCTGCTTTAATACTAAGTACGAAAAATTATGTTTAAATTTTCATTTCAATGTATGAATAAGTGTGTTTACTTGCATTATAAATGTGTTACCATCGTTTCTTTATCAACAGAAAGTCACTCCAAAAAAAAAAGCTCAGTCCGATATTTAAGATCAACAAAAATTGTAAGTGGAAAAGTGTAATATATATTT